AAAAAAGTTTCTGGAAATGTATTATAGCCTAATCCACATGACTTGCATGTAATTAGTATGAGCGTGAATGTAATGAATATTTTTGCAGGCAATGGATGCTTTTGTGCCATACCTGAGAACGACGACGTCCGTCAGAAAGAAATCGCTCATCGAATCGAGCAGTACAGCCAGCAGTACCTCACTGATGCAGAGAGATTCGATCTGTTCGCGGTATGTTTCGAGACAATTTTCACAGCAGTGAGAATGAGCAGACAACAAAAGAATCAGCGGAGTATATTAGGTTGTCCGGAAAGTTCTTAGCGTTTTGTGCACCTATTTTTTGTACATTCACTGCTGTTTAAAAACTCTTTCTGCCTTGCTTCTCAGTAGCCAATCCTGTAGAGAATTTCTTGCGCTATCTGATGGTATAATTGCCGTTTCACCATTGCTTATTGAACTCCCTTTTTTCAAGATTTTTTCAAGCATGTGAAAAGAGCACTTCGGACGATTTTTTTCTTCGACTATAAATTGGGGCAATCCGCAACCGAAACAGCTCAGCAAATTAACCAGGTGTGGGGGCCCAATAGTGCTTGAGAAAGCACTGTGCTGCAATGGCTCAACAAATTTCGTTCAGGAGATTTCAGCATTGAAGATGAACCTCATGGCGGTCGACCTAAAGCAATATCTGACGAGGATTTTGAGGAGATTTTGAAGGCTGACCCATCCCAAACAGTTCGAGAGATTGCAGAAAAGCTAGGCGTTGGCAAATCCAGTGTTGTAGATTGTTTGAAACGCATTGGGAAGGTGAAAAAACCCGACAATTAGGTGCCCCACAATCGGAGTGACCGGCAGGAATCGGCACGTCTCGAGGTTCCTTCTTCGCTGCTTTTGCGCAAAAGAATTGACCCCGTTTTTGAACCGATTTGTCACCTGTGATGAAAAATGGATCATGTATGATAACAGGAGATGTTCCGGACAGTGGTTGGATTTGGAGGAACCACCGAGGTAATTTTCAAAGCCGAACCCTCACGAAAAAAAATTCTGGTCAGGTTTGGTGGTCATCGGCTGTTGTAATCCACTATAACTTTTTATCGCCAGGCCAAACCATCACAGCAGAACCCTACTGTGAACAAACCGACCAAATGTACCGAAAATATTGTCAGCTGCAGCCAACACTTATCAAAAGAAAGGGTCCGATTCTTTTGCATGACAACGCCCGCCCACACGTTTCACAAATCACTATCCATAAATTGAACGAATTGAGGGTTGAAGTTCTACCTCACCCACCATATTCTCCAGACCTTTCACCAACCGACTGTCACCTTTTCAGACATTTTCAGAACTTCCTTGCTGAAAAATACTTCTTCAAGACAAAAGGCAACAAAGACCCGTTCGAGTAGATTTCCGTGGAATTCTCGACCAACCGACAGTTTTTCCTTTTATGGGATTTCTCGACTGCTGTCACATTGGCAAAAGTGTGCTGATTCGAATGGTGCCTATTTCGATTAAATCCGATGAGTATTAAAAAGTTACGATCGTTTAAAGTGAAACCCCAAAACGCTGAGAACTTTCCGGACAACCTGTATACTTCATCCCGCTGGGTGTACCTACTTAGTGAATTACGGACAATAGTGACCTCACAGCTACACCACACCAGGAAACGTATGTAGGACTAGCATTTCCAAAAATGACGAATTGGAAAATTAGGAAAGGAATTTTCTGCGTTGTTTGGCCGACGAGGGGACATTTTGCACTTTAACGACTTTCCATCGACGTGTCGACCTATCTAGACAGCCTCTTCTCGAGTTGACAGGTTTTACCATGACGGCTTTGACGAGCTTGCTTCAGCTTCACAAGGGTTTACAGGTTCCACCAGAGTGGGACTTGTAAACCGGAACTAGTGAAGCAACGCGAAAAGAGCAAAAATGCCCTCTCCGTCAGTGCAAACTGGCGCCGTGAATTTCAATATTCTTGGAAGATTTATCAACTTACAGTGCAGCCCTAGAAGTGTTTGTGGTCGGAATCAAAATGGTGAGGGCGATTTAGATATATCGCTGATGCCAAACCTGCTGCTATAATTCTTATACGCTTGAATCTGAGTCAGGCGTGAACATCTGTGAACACGGCATAGGTTACTCATTGGTATCATTTCGATTGTAGACAGATGTCATCCGTGTTCTGTTTGGACAATGACTGACCACCTTTGTTCTCGCCATGAAAGTATCTCACTAAAGACCCCAGTACCACCGCGTTTGCTGAAAGTTACACAGCCGCGCGCTACCGCAATCTCAGGGAGTGTAGCGCACCCCATATCTAAACATGAGCTTCGGCGTGCAAATTCGTCACGAAATGTCATACGGTGCAATGCAGCTGCAGTACAGCGGCATGGATGGGAGAGGTTGTGAGGTATGCGGTGAGGATGCAGCTTTAAAGGCAGTGCCCGCGTTCATTTGACGTTTCTACGCCCTCCTTATAGTTAGATATCGTAGCTTTGTCGGCAAGCGGTCTAATTTCGCAGCTCAAAAATACGAGAGGATGGCGCCACCCGCTTGTGAAGAGGATGCCGCCCCGCCCACCTGGCTGCCATAACTGCTTTGGTTTGGCCTTTGAGGCTGAGCCTTATGTCGAGCGATAATGAGCTAACGTAGGCTCCAAGTTATAATACATTATTTAGTAGGTGAAAAAAGCATGGAAAAAATCAAGGAAAATCCCTATATAGAATCTAAGTGAATGGCCAGGTGCAAAAATGGTCGAGCTCTTAGCTAGCGAACAGCGCGACCCGCTTCGCCTTTTCGATGAATCACAAAACTAGTATCATACTGTCAAGTCTCAATGGCGAGGGCTATGATCATCCAAGAGAGGGGCGCAGGGAAACATCATATGAATGTGAGCGCTGCCTTTGAAGACAGCTCCCGCGATAAAAGTCTCATGGATAGCTGCTTTCCAATTATGAAACAGTAGCTGATAAGTAATCTCCCAAAGAAGAAAACAGGCAAGAAGCGTCCTCCAGAACAACATAAACAAAATCGCTCCCTCACAGATCACATCCTCCCCTGCGGTCTCTGTGCAACCCCTAGCTCACAAATCTCTCTATCACATCTCGCAGTAGTTGATATCATCCAGTGCAAAAAAAAGAATACAAAAAGAAAACAACAAAAACGCAGAGGAAAAACTCTTGGAAGGAAAAAGGAATTTTATCAACGCGGTGTCTGAATTTGGGATTACGGTAGCGCACGTTTTGTGCGTCGAGGTTTTGCATCACGAAAATTGCGTCACTCGTGCTTTTTACGCGTTTCACCTCGCGAAATGAGTTGAATGTATATACCTCCAATGAGTAAACTGTAATAAAGGGGAGCAGAATTATCCATGGGCATTAGCAATGCCGCCGCCCCAGACTAACAATGAGCACCTGAAGTGCCTTCGTCGAGGACATCCTAGCAAAGTATGAACGGTCCAACCTGAGGCAGCGGGCGTCATAGAACTTACAGCGGGCTGGTAGCTCGCTTACTTCGTTCAGCTGTGCCAGACGGAATCAGAGTGGGACAGTTTCTAGCTTTGGGGGCTGTACTAACTTGGCACAAGGAGGACGACCCATGTACTACTACTCGAGGCGCGGGGCCTGCTTTAAATCATGGTGTTAGGCTTTGCCTGAAGATTCGTAGACCGGAGAGCCTATCGAGTTCACCTTTTAGCCAGAGGAACAGCTCAGTGTTATGGTCTATTATCTCTAACCTGGCATGTCGTTTTAGGGTCGCTCTGACACTATTGTCTGGATCTCATCGGTCTCCATTCCATCTACGCAGTGCGGCTGGTTGAGCTCAAGAACCGGCAAAGTTGGCTCACAAAACTGCAACAATCTGATGCCGTTCGTTTGCGAAAAAGGTAGTTGCTGTTCCTTCTTCCAGAACGATGTGCACCCAGTGGGTATTTTCAATCACAGTATCATTCAGTGCTGTGACATAAACATAGCGCTAGTGCGGCAAGTATGGATTGATAGCAACGGGTGATCCTCAGGGGATATCGATCGCATCTGTCTGACGGATAAAAGATATCGAACCAAATTTCAACCCTTCCGAATCTCATGCGCGAAACCTGTTTGAGAATGGAAATAGACAAAAAGCAACAACGACGGTCTCTGAGTCATTGCCATTCAAAGGTTAAATTAAATATTAGGCAGCCTTCTCCATCTCGCTCGTTCGAAATAGAAATTTGGGCTTCCTTCTCAGCCAGATCTTGCGTAATTTTCTGTCTAAGAGATGCCTTCCGCACCTAGGGGAGATTCTGAAGACTACCGCAACGAGAGAGAAAGGGTTTCAATCTAGCCTCTGCCACTCCCGTATCTGTTCCGATTTCTTCGACATCTTCGAGTGTTAATCTTGCTGAAATTTTGAATGTTCAGGAACTCAGCCCCTACAACATCGAGACCTGTTTATGTGCGTGCCAAGGATTGTGATAGGCGGTCGTGTTGGTCGCGATCTTGGTGGCGATTCTCTTCCTTCTCGCCTTGTGTTGGTGCATCAAGTCACGAAAAAGGAACGAAGACAGCATTGAGCGGAAGAACATCATTAGAGCCAGTATCAAACTGCAAAGGTACGAGACCGCGTAGGTCCAATAGAACGTTTGAAAAAGCAGAGGAATAGCTAGGGCATCCATATGAGAGATGGCTAAGAGACTAGGATGTCTTGCGCCACAATCATAGTTCCTTTTTCAGGAAGGCATCAGCTCCTCATCGCAAGCAACTTCCCTCACATCAGTCAGCCAAAGCCACTCTCAGCTCGTCCACCATCAACGCCTACGGAGATCCTTTTATCACCGAAAGGTACTCGCAGTTGATACTGTTGCAGTCAGGCGGGGCTTGTCAGGTGCGGAGTGACCCCACCCGCGGCTTTTTCTACCCTTGATTCTTTCCTAGATGGACCGGAAACCATCCCAAAAATTGCAGGGGTGGGTTCATTCTAAGCCTGCTGGCATCGCCCCAGCTGCTTGATTGTGCAAGGTATTTGAAAGGTAAAAAGTCCGCCACGAATTCGTATTGAATGTCTAGCTTTATTGTGATAAAGCCTTCATCTAATTGTTTTAGTATTAGGAAAACACCACATGGTCGAGCAGCTGCTTCCCGTTCGCCGACGAAACCGTACGGAAACCGTACGGACGGAATGCTCGGACTCTTTATCCACTGATCGCACGTATGATCGCCTGAGCTCTATGGATACCTCCAGGTGAATTGTTACGACAGCGTGTATTTGTGTCACGGCATTACTCCGATCTGCTGATTGTTGCTGAACTCGGAAACAGTTGCCATCATTTTGGCTCCGAGCGATGTAGCGAAAGCTTCCTTGTGACTTATTATATAATATAAGCAGTGCAGGGCCATTAACGCCAGTTGGCACGATAATTTGGTACACTGTCTAAAATGGTAGCAGGGGTGCTAAATAGTGGGAAATGGCGAAAAAACGAAGTGAGAGGGTCAAAACTTGCAAAAAGCCTTTGTTCTACACGACTCAGAAAGCAATTTCGGACGAGTTCCCCGTTGGCATCGTGCCAATAACCGCTACGGTAGATACGGCTGCATGCATGTGCTCATATATCCATGAAGCAACGCAGTCGCTTCATATCAAATCCCATGTCTCATAAACTTTACTTTGCAGATGAGAAGAAGGATCGCCTACGATGCCAAGATCGGTCGGCAATGTGGGCGGGATGGGTGCGGTGGGCGCGTCGCGGGTGGTGTGTTCAGCCTGGGCCGCATAATTGTACTTCTTGAAGAAGCAATCACGCAGCCCTTGCTCAAGGAGTGCCGACGTTATCCCGCATAGGAAGTATTGATCCTACACAGCAGTTCTTCAAGGGTACTATCACCCACTGAGTTTAGCGAACAACGAACAACTTAGCTCGGAGCATTTGGCAGCAGGGCGACGACGCTGGGATCGGGAAATGGGGAATGACACGAGGCTCCGGAGGGTTTGAGGCCAACCCTCATCAGCGGTCGAGTTCGCGACACCATCCTTCCTAGCACCTTTCAAAAGCCTCCCTTGGGGTCGTGATGGTTGAGATGATGGGCTCATGCACGCAAGTCCTGTTACTGTGTGGTCGGCTTCTCTTGACTGCTACGGAGATTTAGGTGACCCTCGAAGTGAACTCCTATTCATCAACACGAGTCTAATCTCCTACGATCTCGTGTGTTTCAAGCCGTTTGAGACTCCGAAGAAGGCGAAGAGGCCCATACAGACCTAATAAAAGAGTGACGACCTCGAAAAGGCTCGATTGTTGCTACACTACTGAAAATCGGCAGGTTGAAGAGTTGTAACCACGAGGGATATGTAGTCAATACATCTTGAAGTTGAACCCTGCATACCCTCTTTTCAACCCCCCATTTCGGAGCGGAGAACCTGCATCAGCTGATGTTCCGCGTTCTCGCCGTACTCCATTGTAGCAATATCATCATTTTCAACGAGAATTAAGTTTTTTTTCTAAAAGCTGGAAATCCAGAGAGCGGGCTACATAGTTAGAGGAAGCGAATCTGGAGGAGCACCACAGGCACAGTATTGCAAGCAGGGTACAGCCTCATGATGTGAGAAATGATGATTTCAGTACGACCCCACCCTCTCCTGAGAGAGGGTCTCAGTACGACCACTCCCTTCTCGGTAGACTACCTCTCGGTGCGATCCCCTTCCCCAACACGTATCTACCACTTTCCTTCATGTTCCCAGCCCCTACCAGTTTTTTTCCCGAAGTTTCCCGAAAATTTGCTACTTTCTCCCCAAAACCCAAAAATTTTCCGTCGAGCGAAGTGGGGGGGGGGGGGAGGAAGGGGTGACCATCCCCTAAATGTTTCGCACAACGATGCTGTATCCTGACTGCAGGCGGTAAGTGGGACTAAACTCTATAGGAAACTGAGCAGAAGTACCATGATCAACGAAGATAGAGTGCAGCTCGCAGAACTCTGGAAAGTAAATGAAACTTTCTGGAAATATAGTCACTCCACGTGACTTCCATATAAATAGTATAAACGTGAATGTATTGATTATTTTTGCAGGCTATGGATGCTTTTGTGCCATACCTGAGAACGGACGACGTCCGTCAGAAGGAAATCGCTCATCGAATCGAGCAGTACAGCCAGCAGTACCTCACTGATGCTGAGAGATTTGATTTATTTGCGGTATGTTTCGAGACAATTTCACAACAGTGAGAATGAGCAGGCAATAAGAGATGTGGGAGGCCGCGCTTACTCCTGAGGGAACATAGGATCACAGGAGTTATTATGCTTACTCATACCTCTTCGACCAGTTATGGTAGTAGCGGACAGTAGTGACAGCGACACTTCACAATTATACAACACCAGAGAGCTATGGAGGACTATCCTGGCGCTGTTTGTCGACGGGGGGCATTTTGTATTATCATTGCTTCCCTAGTTCCGGTTTACAAATCTCACTCTGGTAAAACTTGTGAACTCTTGTGAAGCTGAAGTAAGATCGTCTAGCCACTGTCCTGAAACGTGTCAACTCGAGAAATGGCTACGTAGATGGGTCGACATATCTATG